TAAATATTACCAACTCTGGTCCCAACACTGTAAAATACTTGGACTTAAACAGAATGTTATTATTTTTTTACTCTTTGGCTACGAAATATAAAGTATGAACTGCTATCAAAGCAGTGTGCAAAACCCTAGTTCTTTTCCTGCCAAGAAAGTATCTCAAAATAATTATGATACAACATATTTTGAAAATGTCTCTCGTGGCCAAATGTGTCACTTTATTTTCTTAAACTTTTTATTTTGTATTGGGTTATAGCCGATTAACAATGCTGTGATAGTTTCGGGTGAATAGCAAAGGGACTCAGCCATACATATACATGTATCCATTCTCCCCCAAACTCCCTTCCCATCTAAGCCAAATGTGTCACTCTAAAATTCCAGAATTCTAGCATTTGATCACTGATCAGTGACTAATTCCCCAACCATGAAATAAACTGGAAAATCATTAACCCTCTTTAAGGTATGAAAATGAGCTGGCTCTTCATCAGAGTGTAGAGAGTGATGTCAATGGGCTTCGCAGAGTTCTGGATGAAATCACCCTCTGCAGAACAGACTTGGAGATTCAGTATGAAACCCTGAGTGAAGAGCTGACTTACCTCAAAAAGAACCATAAAGAGGTAAGAGCTGACTGCCTACATATTGCCATCCCTCTGCAGACACTATCCATTTAACAGGAGATAATGGACTTGACTTCTTAAGTAAGAAATTGGCACTAAAGATCTGTGATCAGACAGACATGAGGCCTGAGTCGTTCACAGCAGTGGTGAAGTATTAGTCCAGATTCACCTCTGATCTCACATCAAATTTCCCATGGCAGGGAGGGGGAAAGAATCGTCTTTTCCATACCAAACATACCAATCAGGGTTCTAAGAGCAATGTTTCAGCTAGCCAATTATGGCTAAGTTGAAATGGCATACTTAGGAGATTACATCTAATTAGATAAAATAAATATACTCTAAGGATATCTTAAGGAAACCAGAGCTAGATTTCTATAAAACAGTGGCAGATTTAAAACACTTAAACATTTACTTTGTATACACTTCAGCATATGTTCTTAATGTATAATCTTAATATATATGATAGATATAAACTTAATGTATATAAAAATAACGAGACTGAAGCTAAACATATAAAAATGTACACTTCCAAATAAATATCCAAACTGGTCATCATTGGAAGTTAGATTAAAAAATCAGACCATACAGCCATGACTCTGGACACATTTTGGGGAATGCTTTCAGAACCACTGTTTTCTAAGAAATTTTTATTCTTTGAAATTGAATTTCTTTTAAAATAGTCAAAAAAGTTCTAAGAGTCATGCCAAACCTCAAAGCAGGAGATCAAGCTAAGACTGCAATTTGATTAGCCATGAGGCTGTCTTGAAACAATACCTACTTAAAGAACATTAATATGAACATACAGGTTCAGGAATGTTTATAACCCATGGTAACTACATGATAATTTTTTTTTTAATCTTTGGGTGTACAGCTCAGCATTTGGGATCTCAGTTCCCCAACCAGAGACTGAGCCTGTGCCCCCTGCAGTGGAAGCTCAGTCTTAACCACTGGACCACCAGGGAAGTCCCTATAACAAATTTTTGATGAATTGAATAAATTGATTTTTTAAATGATTCACTCACAGACAGACCCACATGCATCTTTTTTATCTTTTTCTGCTTGAACTGAAGAAGTTTTCACTAAATCCTCAGAAGTAAAAACCCCACCTGGAGAAAGAGAAGGTATACTGATCACCGGGAAAAAAGAAAGCCTCATTATTGACATATTGGAGTTCATGCAGAGATCTGTCTGACACCCAAGTCCATCATGACACTAGTCCCTGTGTAAGCTTAATAGCTTAACTGACAGCTAGGATTCTTTAGAGGAGTAGGTTCTCCCTTTATTAATTGCAAGTAAGCAAGTATGTTTAAATTATAAATATACATATATAACAAATATTTGTTTATAATTATTCAGAATTCTTTAGACTTAGCCCCTGGATCATGTTCCTACTGTCTGAGGTCAGGAGAGAGCTGATCAGAGAACACTTCAAAGCTGGTCTCTTAAGTAAAATGCAGACCAGTGCATCAAGGTGGAGACATTTCAGCCATAAATAAATAGAATAAGAGATAAGGATAACTCATTTTAAATATCTTAGGGACTTTCATTTGGGAAAGGAAGAAAGACTCTTTTCTGTGCAGCAGAACTACAATCGATGAATTGGAGTTACAGGAGCAGGAATTAAATTGACCAGAAGGAAGAGCTTTGGAGCAATTAAAACTTTACAAGAATAAAACACACTACTTCATGAGACAGGAAATACGAAATGTAGAGGTACCTGCACAGCCTGGGAGGTGGACCCAGAGAAACTCTTAAGAACCCTACCAAATCTAAGCCTCTAGACTTTCTCTAAACATTCCTACACAGCTGAACTGAATGCTCTTCCACCTCCAGGAAATGCAGGTTCTGCAGTGTGCGGCCGGAGGCAACGTGAACGTGGAGATGAACGCAGCGCCCGGCGTGGACCTCACGGTTCTGCTGAACAACATGCGGGCCGAGTACGAAGCCCTGGCCGAGCAGAACCGCAGGGACGCTGAGGCTTGGTTTAACGAAAAGGTGAGCCTTAACCGGAAAATACCCCCTCTGCTTTTGAACGCTGTTCACAAAACTAAGATGTGCTCCCTCCTTTACACCTTGACAGAGCGCTTCGCTGCAACAGCAGATCACTGAGGATGTGGGAGCCACCACCTCAGCCAGGAATGAGCTAACAGAGATGAAGCGCAACCTCCAAACACTGGAAATTGAACTTCAGTCTCTCCTAGCCACGGTATGAAAAGGCTGATCTCTTACCATCTCCTAGGTTATCTTTTTTCTTCTTTTTTTTAAATCGATGTATAGTTGATTTACAATGCTGTGTTAGTTTGAGGTATAGAGCAAAGTGATTCAGATATATACATAGACTTTAGCTGCAAAATTGATTCCAACTTCTATGATGACATAATGATCATAATAACTAACATTTAACATGTGAACATTACATATATATATCTTTTTCTGATTCTTTTTCATTATAGCTTATTACAAGATATTGAATATAGTTCCCTGTGCTATACAGTAGGACCTTATTGTTATCTATTTTATATAAAGTAGTGTATATCTGTTAAGCCCAAGATCCTAATTTATCTCTTTCTCCCCTTCCCCCTTTGGTAACCATAAATTTGTTTTCTATGTCGGTGAGTCTGTTTCTGTTTTGTAAATAAGTTCATTTGCATCACTTTTTAGGTTCTACATATAAATAATACATATTTGTCTTTCTCTGACTTACTTCATGTATATGATAATTTCTAGTTGCATCCATGTTGCTGCAAATGGCATTCTTTCATTCTCTTTTATGGCTGAGTAGTATTCCATTGTGTATATACACACCACATTTTCTTAATCCATTCATCTCTTGATGGGTCCTTAGGTTCCTTCCATGTCTTGGCTACTGTAAACAGTATTGCTATGAACATTGGTGTGCGTGTATCTTTTCAAGTTAATATTTTCTCTGGATATATGCCCAGGAATGGGATTGCTGGATCATACAGTAACTCTATTTTTAATTTTTTAAGGAACCTCCATACTTTTTTCCCATGGTGGCTATACCAATTAACATTCCCACCAACAGTGTAGGAGAGTTCCTTTTTCTTCACACGTTCTCCAGTTTATTATTTGTACACTTTTTGAGGATGGCCATTCTGACTGGTACAAGCTTCTACTTCATTGTAGTTTTGATTTGCATTTCTCTAATAATTAGTGATGTTGAGCATCTTTTCATATGCCTGTTGGCCATTCTGTATTTATTCTTTGGAAAAATGCTTACTTGGGTCTTCTGTCCATTTTTTTTATTGGGTTTTTTGTTTTATATTGAGCTGTAGGAACTGTTTGTATATTTTGGAAATTAAGCTCCTATGTTACCATTTTAAATGTGTGCCAGTTGATGTTAAAAGCCTTAACTGTGTTGAGAATATATCCATATATCCAAAAATATGTATTTTTATGTAGTTAACTTAGAACATAAGAAAAGAATGGTATTTTATGTAATAGCTGAAACAGCATCACCGATATCTTTTGGCTTATTCTACCAAATAAGAAAATTTTGCTGATTTTTAAGAGTGTCATAGAGTGTCTTCTTAACTATGTGTCAATGTGAAATCTAAAACAATTATAGGGAGAGGGAACAAAAGGAAAAAGTCATCTATCAAAGCAAATGTCTGCATATCTGTACATCCATCCCAGATTCTTTACTGTTTTCCAACAGAAACACTCCCTGGAGTGCTCCTTGACGGAGACGGAGGGCAACTACTGTGCACAGCTGGCCCAGATCCAGGCTCAGATCGGGGCCCTGGAGGAGCAGCTGCACCAGGTCAGGACCGAGACCGAGGGCCAGAAACTGGAATACGAACAGCTCCTGGACATCAAGGTCCACCTGGAGAAAGAAATCGAGACCTACTGTCTCCTCATTGGTGGAGATGATGGGTAAGTGGAATTCTTCACAGGGAAAATGCAATATACCAAAATCTGCTTGAAACTTAGATACCCGGAAAGTGAACATAAATTGAAATGACCATATTTATGAGCATAAATGCTAAATATTAATCATGATACACTACTGCCAAGATACAAATTAGCCACATCTTACAAAATCATGGTGCCACAAGCCCTGTATTTAAGGTGAGAAGATTTTTAAAACCACATCTTGTTGTTAAAGCAAAGTAGCTTCAACTGTGTGACCCACTGAAACTCTTCTCACCGAACAGCTAAAGAAAACAAGAGTAAAAAAAAGAGGGGGACTTCCCTGGCAGTCCAGTGTCAAGACTATGCTTTCACTTCAGGGGGTGCAGGTTCGATCTCTGGTCAGGATACTATTAACAAGAGAACAAAAAAGGAAAACAAGAGTGAATCTAGAGTTAAAGGATTTCTTTCTAAGTCACTCTCCTGTGTGACATTTTCAGCAATTTGTGTCCACAGGGCTTGCAAGTCTGGAGGTTACAAGTCTAAAGACTATGGAGCTGGAAATGTGGGAAACCAAATGAAAGGTAATTAAAATGGAATTCTGATTTTCTGCTATTCTACTTCATTTTCAATGCACAGCTTGACTGTTTTCATATTTCCAGGCCTCAGTAAGTACAGATGTAATAAAGAACTGTAGTGGATACCAGTGTGTGCTAGATGTCTAACTTAAGCGATGTGTGCTAATTTTAAACAAAGTGTTTTGTCATCACATTTTTAGTTAACCAAAAAATTGAAATTCCCCAAAAATGAGTCTGAGTATTTGTGCTTCCTGCATAGTAATTTCTACATAAAAATTCTATTATTCCTTTAATTAATATAACTTATTATTATTTTTCCACTTTTTTACTGTGGTAAAATACACAGAACATAAAATTTACTATCTTAACCATACTAAGTGTATAGTTCAGTGGCATTAAGTACATTCATATTCTTGTGTAGCCATCATTACTGTCTATCTCTTTTCATCTTGTAAAATTGAAACTCTATTCCTGTTTAAAAAAAAAAACAACTCCCCTTTTCCTCCTCTTCCCTCCAGTTTCTTCAACTACCATTCTACTTTCTCTTGCTATGAATCTGACTACTCTAGGTACCTCATATAAGTGGAATCATACCATATTTGTCTTTTTGTGATTGATTTATTTCTCTTAGCATAATATCCTCAAGACTCATCCACATTTTAGCTATTGTGATTTTATTCATCTTGTTTCAACTCTCTAAAAATTTCCTTTGAAATTTTGAATTTTAGATCCAGTCAAAGCCATTGTGGTTAAGAAAGTCCTTGAGGAGGTAGACCAGCGCAGCAAAATACTTACCACCAGGCTCCACTCCCTGGAAGAGAAATCTCAAAGCAATTAATCCGATATACAAGAGACAGCATATGCCAAAAACTCTCTGAGAAGAGATGGCATAAGATATCTGTCTGGGAAAATGAGCAAGTCTTAAAAAAAAGGGTCTGTCCTCTTATCTTCCTGTTACTGAAATATAATCTCTGTCTGGGAAATCATTAGCATTATCAATAGTATCTTCCCATTTACCTGGAAGAACATCACACATAAATATGATGACTCATTTGATTACCCTACAGAAAGTGTTATCAGTTCTTTTTAATCAATAAACCTTCTTCCTTTAGCAAGTTATCACTGGTGGTGTTGTCTTATCTTTAAAATGTTCATGTATGTGGTACAGATGTACGAACATCTAACAGCTCTTGGTCTACATGAAAACTTTAAAAAATAATTAAGATTTCTCCCTGGATTTTCATGAGGCTTTCCCAATAACTAAATATGAGATAAACTCAAAAGGAATAAAAATCCTTCCACTGACCCCCAATCTGCCATCCTTTGACATATAGCAAGTCTATTCCTTTTCACAGTAGTCCATTTCAGATTCATCTATAAAACAATAACAGTACTTCTCTCAAGTGGTTATTGTAAAGATTAAACAAATACATTATCATAAAGTACACTTAAGGGTAAGCACTCAATAAATGTTAGCTCATTTTTTAATACTCAATATTTATAGTGATTAACTTTCAGATCTCATTTACCTTTTGAATAAATATTTAAACAATATTTCAAATGTAAAGGAGGTTAATTAAAAGTTCTGGCTGGAATTTAAGTTTTTTTAATGGAGTACTTCATTTGTATTACAAAGTACACTTGATGTTTGTAACTCTCTTGATCAACATCTCCAAGAAAGGGAAATAAATTAGATAAACTGAAAACATAATTTCCTCAGATCAAATATTACCCCTAGACATTCAGCTGACTCTTAACACCCTATAGATACCCATGTTGTGATCCATTCATGAAAATCTGATTTCAAGATCCATCTGAAAGTATTAAGCAGATAATAATAATTATTATTAAGCAGGTAATAAGCACTAGAGTTATCCTTGAATTATTTTTATTGTATTTATTTCTCCACTGATCTCCAGTAGCATATTGGTAGATCAGTGGAGAAATAACTCCAGAAAGAATGAAGGGATGGAGCCAAAGCAAAAACAACACCCAGTTGTGAATGGGACTGGTGATGGAAGCAGGGTTCGATGCTGTAAAGAGCAATATTGCATAGGAACCTGGAATCCATGAATCAGGATCAGTTAGGTCCATGAATCAAGGCAAATTGGAAGTTGTCAAACAGGAGATGACAAGAGTGAACATCAACATTCTAGGAATCAGTGAACTAAGATGGACTGGAATGGGTGAATTTAACTCAGATGACCATTATATCTACTATTGTGGGCAGGAATCCCTTAGAAGAAATGGAGTAGCCAGCATAGTCAACAAAAGAGTCCAAAATGCAGTGCTTGGATGCAATCTCAAGAATGACAGAATGATCTCTGTTCATTTCTGAGGCAAATCATTCAATATCATGGTAATCCAAATCTATACCCCGACCAGTAACTCGGAAGAAGCTGAAGTTGAACAGTTCTATGAAGACCTACAAGACCTTCTAGAACTAACACCCCAAAAAAATGTACTTTTCATTATAGGGGACTGGAATGCAAAAGTAGGAAGTCAAGAAACACCTGGAGTAACAGATAAATTTGGTCTTGGAGCACAGAATGAAGCAGGGCAAAGGCTAATAGTTCTGCCAAGAGAACACAATAGTCATAGCAAACACCCTCTTCCAACAACACAAGAGAAGACTCTACACATGGACATCACCAGATGGTCAACACCAAAATCTGATTGATTATATTCTTTGCAACCAAAGATGGAGAAGCTCTATACAGTCAGCAAAAACAAGACCAGGAGCTGACTGTGGATCAGATCATGAACTCCTTGTTGCCAAATTCAGACTGAAATTGAGGAAAGTAGGGAAAACCACTAGACCATTCAGGTATGACCTAAATCAAATCCCTTATGACTATACAGTGGAAGTGAGAAATAGATTTAAAGGACTAGATCTGATAAACAGAGTATCTGATGAACTATGGATGGAGGTACGTGACATTGTACAGGAGACAGGAATCAAGATCATCCCCATGGAAAAGAAATACAAAAAAGCAAAACGGCTGTCTGACGAGGCCTTACAAATAGCTGTGAAAAGAAGGGAAGTGAAAAGCAAAGGAGAAAAGGAAAGATATACCCATATGAATGCAGAGTTCCAAAGAACAGCAAGGAGAAGAAAAGGAGAAGAAAGCCTTCCTCAGCAATCAATGCAAAGAAATATAGGAAAACAACAGAATGGGAAAGACTGGAGATCTCTTCAAGAAAATTAGAGATATCAAGGGAACATTTCATGCAAAGATGGGCTCAATAAAGGACAGAAATGGTAGGGATCTAACAGAAGCAGAAGATATTAAGAAGAGGTGGCAAGAATACACAGAACTGTACAAAAAATATCTTCATGACCCAGATAATCACGATGGTGTGATCACTCACCTAGAGCCAGACATCCTGTAAACTGAAGTCAAGTGAGCCATAGGAATCATCACTATGAACAAAGCTAGTAAAGGTGATGAAATTCCAGTTGAGCTATTTCAAATTCTGAAAGATGATGCTGTGAAAGTGCTGCACTCAATACACCAGCAAATTTGGAAAACTCAGCAGTGGCCAGAGGACTGGAAAAGGTCAGTTTTCATTCCAATCCCAAAGAAAGGCAATGCCAAAGAATGCTCAAACTACCGCACAATTGCACTCATCTCACACGCTAATAAAGTAATGCTTAAAATTCTCCAAGCCAGGCTTCAGCAACACGTGAACCGTGAACTTCCAGATGTTCAAGCTGGTCTTAGAAAAGGCAGAGGAACCAGAGATCAAATTGCCAACATCCAGTGGATCATCGAAAAAGCAAAACAGTTCCAGAAAAATTCCAGAAAATATTTCTGCTTTATTGACTATGCCAAAGCCTTTGACTGTGTGGATCACAATAAACTGTGGAAAATTCTGAAAGAGATGGGAATACCAGACCACCTGACCCGCCTCTTAAGAAACCTGTATGCAGGTCAGGAAGCAACAGTTAGAACTGGACATGGAACAACAGACTGGTTCCAAATAGGAAAAGGAGTACGTCAAGGCTGTATATTGTCACCCTGCTTATTTAATTTATATGCAGAATACATCATCAGAAACACTGGGCTGGAAGAAGCACAAATTGAAATCAAGACTGCTGGGAGAAATATCAATAACCTCAGATATGCAGATGACACCACCTTTATGGCAGAAGGTGAAGAACTAAAGAGCCTCTTGATGAAAGTGAAGGAGGAGAGTGAAAAAGTTGGCTTAAAGCTCAACATTCAGAAAATTAAAGATCATGGCATCTGGTCCCATCACTTCATGGGAAATAGACAAGGAAACAGTGGAAACAATGGCTGACTTTATTTTTCTAAGACTCCAAAATCACTGCAGATGGTGACTGTAGCCATGAAATTAAAAGACGCTTACTCCTTGGAAGGAAAGTTATGACCAACCTAGACAGCATATTAAAAAGCAGAGACATTACTTTGCCAACAAAGGTCCATCTAGTCAAGGCTATGGTTTTTCCAGTGGTCATGTATGGATGAGAGTTGGACTATAAAGAAAGCTGAGCACTGAAAAATTGATGCTTTTGAACTTTGGTGTTGGAGAAGACTCTTGAGAGTCCCTTGGACTGCAAGGAAATCCAACCAGTCCATCCTAAAGGAGATCAGTCCTGGGTATTCATTGGAAGGACTGAACTGAAGCTGAAACTCCAGTACTTTGGCCACCTGATGTGAAGAGCTGACTCATTGGAAAAGACCCTAATGCTGGGAAAGATTGAGGGCAGGAGGAGAAGGGGATGACAGAGGATAAGATGGTTGGATGGCATGACTGACTCAATGGACATGAGTTTGAACAAGCTCCGGGAGTTGGTGATGGACAGGGAAGACTGGCATGCTGCAGGCAATGGGGTCACAAAGAATCAGACACAACTGAGCAACTGATTCAAACTAACCTATCAAACTAAGGGAAAATAAATTCTCTCATTTATTTGTTGGAGAAGGAAAGCACTGAAGCCTGGTTAAGGGATCAAGAAGCCCTGAACTGCCTGAATTCAAAATAATTTCTACCTCTTTCTAGCTGTGTGTCTTTGTGAAAAGTATCTAACTGTTCTGTTGCTCAATGTCATTACCTATAAAACTGGGATAAAAATGATACTATCTAGTTCAGAGGGTTGTGGTGAGGAGTCAGTATCCAGTCCATGTACTTTGAAAAGTGCCTGGTTCATATTAATCTCTCAATAAATGTATCTGTATCAAAAGGTACAAACTGCTAGTTATCAGCTAAGTACTAGGGATATAATGTACAGTGATAAACATAATTAACACCACTCTATGTGATATCTGAAAGTCATTAAGAGAATAAATCCTAAGAACTCTCATCAGAAAAAATTAATATTTTTAAATTCCTATATCCATGGGTTCACAAAGAGTTGCATATGACTTAGCCACTGAACAATAACAAATTCCGTATAAAAAAGATCTATATGAGATGAATGAATGTTCACTAAACTTCTTATGATAATCATTTCATGATGTATATAAGTCAAATCCTTATGCTGTACACCTTAAACTTATACAGTGCTATCTGTCAATTACACCTCAATAAAACTGGAAGAGGAAATAAAATTTTTTTTTTTTAAGTAAATGTAGGGAACTTCCCTGTTGGTCCAGTAGTTAAGACTCCATGCTCCCAGTATAGGAGGGCTGAATTTGACCCCTGGTAAGGGAACTAGAGGGCTTCCCTGGTGGCTCAGAGGTTAAAGTGTCTGCCTGGAATGCGGGAGACCCCGTTTCAATCCCTGAGCTGGGAAGATCCCCTGGAGAAGGAAATGGCAACCCACTCCAGTACTCTTGCCTGGAGAATCCCATGGAGGGAGGAGCCTGGTAG